GGGAGCTCCCGCTCCTCGGCACCTCGGCCTCCCGCGCCCGCTGTTTCTGCTTTGCCCCCGAACTTCACGGGGACTCGTGTCGTGTTTCGCTTGTGGCAAATGAGTTGCAACATCCCGCTCCAGCAGTCTTGCTTCCTTGGAGCTGTAGCGCCATTAATAAACAACTCTGGTTTTAAATACAAGGTTTTTAGAGAGACGTGGCTTTAATTGATTTCCAGGATTTGTTGGCTCGTGAGGTGCCGTGGGCTGTCTTGTGGTAGGACCCACAGTCACTGCGCGGGGAATTGGCACCTTTAAACTGTCCCGGTGCCTTTCTGGCTGATTTGGTACAAGACTTAATGTGGGAATTAGCTGTTCACCTGATCTAGCGTGCCCAGAGGTGGGACAACATTCATTTATTCTGGTCTTATGATCACTGAATGGTCCTTAATTATGTAATCTGCCGTGTGGAAAATTATAAGAGGCAGTGAATTACCTTAGATGAGAGTTCTGATTTACTGATTGTTTTGAAGTGGGAAAATAGCTCTCTGTTTTTCTTAACGTGGAAAGTTCTTGCAGCCTCTTCCTCAGACACCCCCTGCTATCCCCAGCCCTAAAGAACACGAAAGGGAATTTCTTACAGCTTTTTATCGTGAAAGCAAGATCTTCCAGCAGCTACAGGCCTGTTTGACACGAGTTTGCTGTGTGTGCCTGTGCGCTGCATCCTGCTCTGAGTGGGAACTTGGGCTTGATGGTGCCTTCCATGTTTTATTGCCTCTTATTCATTTTGAGGGAATTTTGAAAGCTTCTCTACCCTCAGCTGATGAGAACTTGAGCTGCAGTAGTGGAATAGAAGTCCAGTACTTTTGTGTAAAAAAAAAAAAAAATGGGATTTGGTACTTCTCATGGGGAAGATAAAACTCTGTGTATGTGTGTGGACAAACTTGAGGGGGATTGGGCAAATATGATAGAGGAGATTAATTTTGTTGGATTTTGGTTTGGGTGTTGAATTTTGTTTTCCTCACCCTGGTTCTGGCAGTTAATTTTAAAAAGTTGATTAGACAGGGAAGTGTTTTCTGCCCCCCATATCTGTAGGGTTTCCTAAAAAGGGGCAAGAGTTATACAAATGTGAAGTTATTGATTTTTAAAGGACAAATAAATAAATTTTATGTCTAAGATCTGGAGTAGATGTATTTTTCATGCTAGTTAAGTGTTGCAAAAATATGCATATAGAGTCATCTATTTTGACATTTATTTATTTACAGATATCTTTTAAATTGCATTTACTCCAGGGTACTGTTAGGGAGTATCTTGCTTGTAGGCATTGCATGATTAAAAAGAGAAGTTTCTGTTGATACACTTAATTTCATCATCTTTCTTTTTCCAAGCTTCTTGCATGTTACAAACAGAAAATCCCATCCTGCATTCCTGTAGGTGAATGTTTAGGAAGTAGAACAGCTTTATTAAATAATTTTCAAACTTCTAAGTTCACCTTGAAAGTTTCAGTGTTATTAATTTCTTTGAGCTTTATCTAATGGTGAATTTAAACCAGAAAATCTGAGTATTGGGGATGGTGTTTTTTGTTAGCCATGGCAGTGTTTGTTATGTTATTATTTTTTTTGCTGGGGTGGTTTTTATGATTTGTTTGGGTGAGTTTGTGCCGTGAATGTTGCTGACTGCTCCAGCTGTGTGCAGGGGTGTGGGCTAAGGGAATGTGCTTTTTCTGCATGGGGGAGGTGAGGAAGGTGCAGCATTTACCTGGGGGTGGTGAATTCCCAGCTCTGGACCCGCCTGCTGTGGGAGCTGACATTTCCTTGGGGACAAGGCTGTGCTGTCTAACAGAGGTGCAGATAAGGACCTGTGCTTTCTGCGATTGGAAAGCTGAGATTTCACATGTAGTGAAGTGACCCAGATGTGGTCACTTAGGAGTATTTCAGCACTATTTCCTGATGCCTCATTCCAAGCCCTACTGGAATATTTGGGTGCTGTTATGCAATGTTGCAATGAGTGTTTCATTTCAGCTTATTAAAATATTGCATAAATTTCAATATTTCTTATCAGTGGATTGAAGAACTAGATGTGACAACAGTGGGCATGTTGAAAAGCTTAAAGTTAAGGAGTTTTAGTGGAAAATTAGTTTTATTTGTATCTTAGTTTGGAGTCAAACCATTAAAACCTATCTGCAAAATAATTAGGTTTGCTACCTTTCAGTATTTCAGAAAAGCTCAACCAGACTGCTGCAGTGAGTGTTTTTGCCTGACCTCTGTGTCCCTCGTATTAAGATTTCTCTGGAGTGAAGTTTGCGTCAAGCAGACCCAGTTGGCTTCTAGTCTGCAAAGCTGTTAAGTTTAATCTTGTTCCAGTTTAATTTTAATGTCATGGATTGAAATTATATGCATGGCCATTTTTTTTTTTTGTGAAGAGTTGGATTTGGAACGAAAGCAAAATGGCTCGAGGACGCAAGAGCAATAGCATCAAACAGAGCGACTTCACTAACAGCACCAATCCTCAGGATTTAGAGAGAAGACTTTTTGTCGGCAATTTGCCCACAGACCACATGACTCGTGAAGAAATGGAAGAGATATTTTCAAAATATGGCAAAATCAGGGGTTAGTATATTATCTTATGCCTTTTTGTGGCAGGGATTTCAGGGAGAAATATTGCTTCATGCTTGTCAAATGCTATTTGGTGATGATGAGAGGAGTGACCAATATTGTTCCTAAATAGTGACCTTTTAATGATAACTTTCTCTGCCTGCATTTTGTCTGGAAAAGTGAATCCTTCAGTACAGCTCAAACATAATGCAAATATATCAGCTATGCTTTAGCTTTTAGGGTCTCAGTGTGATGTCACAATAGTCTTTCATAGCCTCTTAATCAAATCTTGGTCACTTCACGGGCTGTATTTTGGTCACTGCCTTGTCAGAAGGAACTTGATCAGAGTCTTTGAGCTCTGCACTTTGATCCTGGTGGGTTAGATTTTCCCAGGAAGCTTGCAGAGTGCTTTCTGGGTAGAGCACAGCTGGTGGGGTTAGCGGTGTGTGTGTGGGTCAGCTCTGTGCGTGGTTGTAACCGGTCTTGCCCTGCTGTTAACTCTTGCAGCCCTCAGCATGTACCATGGCTATGGGTTCGTGCAGTATGACCGTCTAGAAGATGTCCAGGCCGCTCTGGACGGTGAGAAGGGCCGCCTTTATAAAGGGTATAGATTAGGTAAGGAACCTGCTCCTCGCTCTCCTGACCCCAGCATGCGTTCCGGAGAAAGGGTGCTGTTGTTTTAAAGCCCCCCTCAAAGGTCACAGTGTGACACTTGTCTGGCCTTAGTCTCAATCAATTTAAACAGAATTTATTCGCCTCCTGAGTTCCTGCTGTGTGCTTCACCTTGCTGCCTGGGTCTTACCCTGAATTTTTATGTGTTAGTGTTTGGAAAGCTCTGTTAGCCTTAAGAGCAGAGAAGAAACTGTGCAGCAAGTGATTATTGAAACGTCCAGCACAGAGTTTAATAACATTTGTAAACCAAAACTGGGCTTCATCTTGACATGCTCAAAGGAATTGGTCACAGTGCTTAGTGGCTGGTTGGCTAAGTAAACTTAGCTGGGATTTTTGCACAAGTGGAGCCAGCCTTTAAGCAGTGCTATAAATACTGAGTGCTTTAAAAAGGATATTTTCATAAAGATGAGGATAATTCTGCTAAGTGTGCTGGGAGCAGACTTAAATGGACATGAATGGTTAGAAATCCACGAGTAATCTTTTAAATGCAAGGCAAAAATTACTTTCAAAGTAAGCCTATGATAATTTGAAGAAAAACAGTGTGACTTAAAAAAGAATGACAGGAGGAATAAATAGTAACCTGTGGGAAGGTGTATGTGCAGTAACAAATAGGAGCCTGAAGATGGAAATGAAGGCAAATAGACAAGAAGGGTTGAAGGATTCGAGAAGAAATGATGTCCAGCATTATCCAAGTGTAGAGACTTAAATAGGAACAACTTTGGCTGTTTTAGAAGCTAAGGGTAACTAACTGGCAATGATAAAATTTTTAACTGAGAAGACCAGTTAATGTTTCTGCTGTCCATTTTTGAAGAGGCAGGAGATTTGTTTAATGTAATTTCCATTTCAGTAGCAAAGCCAAAAAGGTAAAACTGCAGCTACCAAATCTAGAGCTCTCAAAAGAATTAACGTCAGTGAGGCTCAGTGAACTACTGACCTGCCTAGTCTGTTACTGGTGTTTTTCCACAAGCCTTGGAAAACTAGGGAGTTTCCAGGGAGCTGCTAGAGTGCTGCAGGTGAGCCAGTAGGCAGGGAAAATGGAATGAGCCTGGCATCAGAGCCTGGGAGCAAAGGGATTCTTTCACCTGACACTGATGAGAAGGCAATTGATTAATGTCCATCAGAATAAATCCTGTCTTAGTTACTCTTAAGGTACTGCAAGCTCTAGGGCTGGAAGCAGCAGTGTTAGTGTACAGATTGCTGTAAGGTGCTTGACTTGATAAGAAAGGAGAACAGTTAAAAACAGCAGAGTTAAATGGATTTCAAGTGAATCTAGAATGGAATAGTTGTAACATGATGGAATTTCTCAGTGCTTTGAGTGGTGGTCTAGAAACCCTGAGTCCTGGCCATACAGGGCTTTTATAAGTGACTTGGAGAGAAAAGCATGTTTTAAAAAAAGGATGAAATAAAGAAGACTGAGTCACTGATGGTGAAAGGACCTGGACTTCCTATCCTGGATGCAGACAGGCCTGAGCTTTAAGTGGAGCTCACAGGGAAGGTCTGCACCCAGCCACAGTGCTTTGGTTGTCCTTGGCTGTGCAAGTAGAGAGGTTTTGGTACTTGTGGGATTTTGCTGCTGGAAGAGTGCTCAGTTTTGGTATGCCTGGTTCAGAAAGGATAATGCTGAATTGGAAACGCCTTGAAAAAACCTGACAGAGGTTTAGAATTAAAGAACAAACCCAAGCAAAAATCTCAAGAGAAAGGAGTGATGTGATCTCTGTGTTACAGACAGACCTGGGATCAGGGAGTTTTAGTGTAGTCGGCATAAGTGTGACAGTGCCTTGAATGTGAATAAAGACTTTTCTCTAACAGCAGAGTAATTGGCTTCTGGAGTAATTTATTGGCTCTGTGGTGGTTTCTGTGCTCTGAAGACTTTTAAATTGGATTTGGATGTTTTGCTAAAAGATAAGCACTAGTTCAGTGGCATTGCTGCCCTTGAGATAGATGGATTCCAGACACTCCTGTCACCTGTGTTTGTTCAGAAGGTTGCACTGTGTGATTACAGTGGCCCTGTCATCTCAAATCCAACAGGACAGAAGACTTTTTATTTGGGCTTTTTTTTCCCGAAGTTTTGTCAGTGTTCAAATACTTAACTTGTAAGTGCTGTTTGCATTAAATAAAATGTTACTAAATGTGTTTGTTTTGCACAAGAGAAGGATCCTTGTCAAAGTTTTTTTTTTTTCCTTCTAGTAAAATATTTTTGTGGAGATCTAAATACCTTTTTTTTATTTGAAAGAAATGTATGATACCAAGTGTAAAAATCATAATAGGTTTCTTCAATGGCATCTTAAAACAGAAAATAAAAATAATCTTAAACCAAAGAAAGCAGCTAGTGTCTTGCTTAAAGATAACACTTTACTTTAAGGGGCAAAATTATCAACTAAAAAATGAATGCAGGGAAAACAGTTACCTGAGTTATGCAGTGTGAATATTAAATACAATCATTAATAACACAGTAAGGTAAAAAGTTTTGGGAGAGTTTAACTCCAGTGTAGCATAATACAAGTGTTTCCACAAATGCACAATAGTGTTTTCATATCTTTAGTAGTAAAACTACTTAGAGAATAAACGTCCTTCAGATGCAGTTTGTAACAGTAGGCCCTGCAGCTGTGTTTGATCCTGGGGAGTTGCTTTGGGGTCCTGTGAGTGGTGTTATGCTGCAGTTGTAGTTAAGGTTTAGATTGCACTTGCTTCTCTGCCCCACCTGAGAGGCAACATGCTGCTTCATTGACATCAAGAACAAAAATTAGACCTGATCCCTTAATAACAGTTTTAATCTTGAAAATAATGAAGGGTAGTTTGGGATGTTACAGAAGATATTAAGACCAAGTCTGCCTAAAGACATCACGGCCTGTTTATATTCTCATGCAAGAGCTTTGAAAGTGGTTCGTGCAAATAACTCATCAGAAATGATAATTGTTGATAGATTCTGGGGGAGCAGATAGGGCCTAGATTTGGGTTCCTTTCCTTAAAAGGTTCTCAGTGAAATGTCCAAAGTCATGTTGCTGTTTGCTTTTGCCCTCCTCCAGTGCATTATTTCATCTCCAGTCAGCTGTCACTGGAGGCTTTGAGAACAGTGTGGGTCCCTGCCAGTTCTGGGCAACTTCACTTTTGTGGGTTGAGGACAAGCTTCTGTTTCTTCAGCTCTCTTCCTTCTTTGTGTTTCCCTTCATGGTGTTTTTCACAGAGATGCTCAGAAGCCAACCAGTTTTCAAATTTCTGATCTGTTGCCTTAGTCTGCATCACATTAACAATGGTGTTTTGGATGCACCATGTTGACTTCATAAGGAGCCATGTTTCAGGCTCTGGATCCGTGTCTCAGTGGTGGGGGCTGTGCACATTAACACTGCAGCAGTCTCTTGGAAGGCAGTTGCAGATCCCCTTTGAGAACCCTTGGCTTGTTTCCAGCAAGGGTATCAGCATGCTCCGTTGAACAGGACTGGCTGTGAACCTAAGACTGTGCTGGCCATCATTCCTTTCTCGGAGGTTTTCAGACTCTGCTTTTTCTCCTAGAGTCCATGAGTCGCTTTCTGCTCGCTCATAGACTGCAGAAGAAAGAGGTTCTCTTATGGAAGGAAGAGTCTGGATGTAGGCCTGAACATGCAGGGTTAAAACTTCACCCAAGCTGTCCACCCTATTTTGAAGTCAAAGAAATCCATGAAATTTGCATTATGTTGTACTATCTAAACTTAATAAAAAATTGTCAAAGTGACAATGTCTCTCTGCTGAATGGATTTCCTTGCACCATCTGGATGTTGTTGAGCTTAAGTTGCTTTCATTTGAATTGTGCTGATGATCTTTGTTTTGTTTCATAGCATTGAACAGATGGGTTGATTATTCTTTACAGATATTAATAAAGCAGTGGAAAGAAGAAATATGAATAAGGCTTCATCAAGGTCCAGTCCCACACGAAGGTAAAGTACCTGGAAGCAGTGAGTTATAGTAGGAATTCAGGCCTTTGGGGCATGAGCCCAGCGGCCTGTGCTAAATGTCTGTGTCTCTTCCCTACTGCCACCTCCCCAGTCAAACAGTGATGCTCCAGCAGGAAAGTGTCTGCTCCACCTCTGAGAACCCTTTAGGCTTGGGCATCTTGGGAGGCACGAGGGAAACCTTGTGTCTGCTGCCAGTACTACAGCCCAGCATTCAGTTTTGCAGCACAGGCTGTAAGAAACTTGAGTGGAAGAATACACTTGATGTTTGCTCCTGCCTCCAAGGATCAGAGAAGCCAAGACATATCTAGAGAATGCCAAGGAGCTGCAGCATTCCTATTGCAGAGGATCTTGGGATCTTGCCTCTTCTGATGCTGAAAGCTTCCAATGCTGCCATGAGACTGGAAAAGAGCGCTTGAGCTAAACACAAGACAGAACAAATATCTCTTGCACGGTCCTGTCTGCCCATGTGGTTGTGTTATCAGAGCCTGGAGCCAGCCCCCCCTGCAGTCACCATTGTACTCTCCAGCTTCTCCTGGCAGCCCACCCTGCAGTGGGCACAGCACATTCACCTCTTTCGCTTCCTCTGAGTAGGCAGCCACAGGCAAGGGGAAAAGATATGGATTGGCCTGTCACAGGAAGACAGCTTCAGTTTCCTTTCCACAGCATCACTAGGAATCACACAAAGGCACATTCCAGTGTTGTTTGGTACAGGTACCCACCCTGTGTGCCTCTGCTGTAAAGCTTTCCGTGAAAAAGCACGGTGCTTGTTGAAATTGAAGGTCATCGAAGTGCCATGTCTAGTGTGCTTTACTAGCTTGAACTGTTACATTACCAACAATGAGGGAAAAGTGCAACTAGCAAGACATCTACACCAAAAAAAAAAAAAGCAGAGAATGAGTAGCTGCAATTCTTGGCACCATCTAGGATTTTTATGCACTGCACTTAACCCTACACAGGGCCAAATGTGCTTGCGGAGACCAGCATGTGGGCATCAGGCCCAAGAAGTGCTGGGATTCCTGTGGCAGATGCAGCAAGTCTTGGGCCCAGGGTGTGCTCAGTGCTGGTGGGAGGACCCTGGGATATGTGAGCAGCAGGCACTGATGGCACAGCTTTGGCCTCAGTGCCACCAATGCTGCAGCACTGCAGAGGAAAGGGGCAGGTGTCTGTACCATGAGCATTGATCCTTGGACTGCACTGCAGAGGGACAAACACAAGCACTGATGCCATGGGCATTGCAATCTATGTCATCCTGCATCTGTGCAAGAGCAGGTGCCTGTGCTGCAGTACTGAGGAGCACTGGACATGACTGGAGAGCAGCCAGAGCTTTTGGTGCCACTGTGATGTGCACTGGATTTCAGCTGGCACTGCATACACCATGGCCATCACATGTGGTTAGCACCAGGTCCCAAGCAGCACTGTGGGCATGCACAGGTGGCAGTGGGGTCACAGTCACAAGTCCTGGGCATGGCTGTGATTGATGAACTCTGAACCACACTGTGGCCTGGGAGCAGCAGCTCTCACTGCCAGTGCTGCAGGGCCCCACGCTGCACCACACACAGCGGTGCTGGGCCAGCAGGGCTGAGTCCCAAACAGATGCAGGCAGTGGTGCTGATGCTGCAGGAGCCAGACCATGGTGACTGAGGTGTGGAAGTTGTGCCTTGGTGCTGCTGTCTCCCTCGAGCAGGGCAGCCATGTGGGCACAAGAGCTGAGGGTACCTGTGCCACATCTCTACTTCTGTCGCAGTTGTGCGTTGTTCATTCTGGATCTATTTGTCTCTGCAGATAATAAATGTGGCCTGTTCTGGTCACCCCCACTCCAGCTGGAATAAATGTCATATGCCAAACAATTCCCCTGCATCTGGTTGTTTTGCTAAATGGTCTCACAGCTGTGGAAAGATCAGTTATACTCAGTATCCATTAAAGCAGGTCAGAAGTTTCCCCTGAGCTTCCACCATCATTCATTGTAGGTTTTGCGGGAAGGGGGCTATGATGTGTCTCTCACAGGATGTGGTTTCAGTGCAGATCACAAACAAAAAGTGGATTTATGTGTCCAAGAAGCTGAAGGAGTTTACACCTGGCTGTCTGCAAATTCATTATGTCACTTAGAGGAGGAGGCTGTGTGTTCTCTTGGTGGCATCTCTAATTTGTCCCAAAATCTGCTTTGTATCTGACATGCAAACAGAGAATGCCAGTGCTCTTATGTGTTCCCAGCACAGCTGGGTGTCTGACACCAAAATCCATGCACAGTCTGCTCTTCCATCTCATTCCTGTCACTCTGCCTGACACCAAGCTTGGCTCATCTGACTCGTTCTCTCCAGGTGATCTCTATGTGACTGCACTGCAGTGGATGCAGACGTAGGTTCTGCTTATCTTTCATAAACTAGATTAGGCTGTTTGAGGACTGTAAAAGTCATGTCAAGTATGGGAAATAAAAAGATTCAAAAGCTGGGTTTTTTTTCCGATGGTTGTTACTATTTTGGGGAAAAAACAGTCTGAACACATCAAGCTCCGTAGTTTCTCTGCAAGATTTTTTTTCATGCTTTGATTTGACTACAGTGAAGTTATAGCCTTCTCTGGAAATCAGAATACAACCTGGAAAAAATCCTACTGCTTTGGGAAAAGATGAAGACTGGAACATTATTCTTCCTTGCCTCTGAAGACTGCAGTATAAAGTCTGAATGAGATGGATCATTCAGATCCAACAGAGAAGCCATTTGTTGCCACTGAGGATACTGTGCTGGTTGGGTTTAGTACCCTCTTAACCAGGGCATTATAAACATAAGGCTGGCTTTCTACAGAAACTATCCCTCAAATCCAGGAGAAGGCCATAGCTGTCTTTGCTTTCTGTCAGCAGCACAAACCCAACTGCAACATGGAACCTGCAATGTCTTTCCTCACAAGCTGCTCCTTTTTCAATCACATGCCAATAACATTACTTCAAGTTTTCTGCTGTCATTGATGAGCGAATTTAATGGATCCCTTGAACGCTCCTGGCTATTGCATATATGTGGGTATTAGCCTGCATCACCTTAAATTCTCAAAGAATTTGCCAAACATGATTGATAGATCATCTATGGCTGATGTTGGAGGTCAGAGGCCTTAAAATGGTGGTTTCTGAAGTGCCCGTTCACTTCATCCACAGGTGCTCTACACTTAGTGCTCCATTAAGGAGCTTTCTGGGTATTGTTTGGCCATGCTGAATATTAAAATTAAGAGCCTTCTCCAGACTGCTTCAAAAATATGACTTTTGGTCAATGTTTGTTGTTGTGGGGTGAGAGGGAGGATTCAGCTGCTGTGAAAGGTGACTTTGGCACCTCAGGTAAGAGATGTAAGGGTAGCTGTTCCCCTGTTGTTAGCAGGCTAATGGAATTTCCCTGGTGTTTTCCTCAGAGAGCAATATGCCTACGGGGATGGCCGAGATGCCAGGCGTGACCGCTCCCCTCTGCGGGGGAGCCCACGGAGAGACCCCAGGGATGGCAGGGATGGCAGGAACGGGCGAGATGCAAGAGACGCCCGAGACATGCGAGGCAGAGACATGCGGGATGCCCGAGACCACAGGGACCCACGGGACCTGCGAGACCCACGGGACTTGAGGGATCCCAGGGACTTGAGGGACCCACGTGATGTTAGAGATCTTCGTGACCCACGGGAGCCGCTGTATGATCGATACAGGGATCCACGGGATATGAGAAATGCACGAGATATGAGGGATCCACGGGATATGAGAGACCCTCGGGACCCTCTGTACAGGTAAACTCTCCCAAGATCCTATTTGCCAAAGTAATATTTTAATGGCATTTCTGACACAATTGTTTGATGTCAGGTGTTTAAGGAAATCACCCTTGGCTGGGGACAGTTGGGTGCTGCTCTGTGTCTTGTCAGGAGCAGATGGGTACCTCAGAAATTAAACCTGGGGGAGGTCTGGGTGTGATGCTTTGCCCAAAGTCACTGCCTGAGATGGTGCTGCAGGAAACCATTGCTGCTTCTGAATGTTGCAGACGAGACGAATCTTATGACCGTTACCTGCGCCTTGACGACTACTACCGGCGCAAGGACGACTCCTACTACGACCGCTACAAGGAGCCAGAGGGTGAGTACCTGCACCACTTCACAGGGAGGGTGCCATGGTGCCACAGTGCCATGGTTGTGGTGCTCTGTGCCCCTCTGAGCAGGTCTGAAGGGTGGCACTCGTTCTGTGGCTCGTTTCAGACCGCCTGAAGCGCGAGGAGCGGCGCCGGGAGGAGCTGTACCGTCAGTACTATGAGGAAATCAAGAGACGGTTTGATGCAGAGAGACCCGTGGATTGTTCCGTGATAGTGGTGAATAAACAGACAAAGTAAGAAAATAGTTATAATCAGTTATATCATTGCATGGTAGAAGAGAATGGATTTAAACTTAGTCCTGCCCTGAGGCTGTTTATCTTACTGGCTGCTCTTGAGGAGCGTGGGTTTAGAGCCGCCGGGAAGCTACAGCTCCCGTTTTTCTTCTGAGAATATATGTTGATGAGATGAGGAAATGTATCTTGTGCTTTGCTTGTATTTCCCCCTTGTAATCTGTTGCTATACCTTCTCCTGATACTTTTATACCTACTCTCCATAGAAGCCTACCATTTCAACAGGCTGTAGGGGCCTGTACTTGCTTTCATGGGTAGCATGATATGGAACTTAGGAATATGTGCCAGCCAGGTGACAGTACAGAGCAGGGGTCGGCGTGGATTGGGGGTATTAGTTCAGAGCTCCTGCTGGATTGGTTCCTAGGGCAGGTACCAGTCATTGCCATTAGTCCAACGTGCAAGAAGTACAAAATCACTGCTGTCAGGGAGAGTATCAAAAGCAGATGTAAGTAGTAACCAGGGTGATCTCCTATGGCTGGCTGAGCACTGACTGAGTTCACAGGGCAGGCACTCTGTTGGAAACAGGAGGTATACCTGGCACAGTAGTAGAGGGTTTTAACAATGTCACCAGTATGATACCTGTATCTTTACAATTAAATATATTAAAGAATAGTAAATCTGTAAATAAATCACAGATCTGACTTGTAATCTGAGGAAAATGTTTGTTGGGGGAAAGTTAAAGCTCTGTCTCCTTTACCCTTTAGAGAAAAGATCAAGAGTTGCTTTTCTTTAACTTTGCTGTACATGTGGGGCAGAAAGAGACAGCTGGAGCTTGCCTCATCTGCTGGTAGAAAATGGAGCAGGAAATGGAAACAGGAGAAGCAGTGAAACTAGAAATAAACTTCTGGTGGAGTTGATTACCTATTGGAACAAATCTTGAGAGGAAATTTTAGATCCTTTATCCCCTGGTGGCTGAAATTCTTTGGAAAATATTCTAATAGACCACAAGTTATTCTGCTTGACCCAAGAATATTTTCTTTTTGTGCCAAAGGATCAGCTTAGTATCCCAAGAATCATTTTGGTCTGTGATAGCTACAAACCTTAAGAGCTGGAGCCTGTTATTGAAGCACTGATGTCACCTGCTGTAGACTGTTGAAAGAAGACTCCTGAATGCCTTAGATACAACCGTGTGACTTCAAAGCTCTTAAAAAGATGGTTGAAGGGGAGACTGTTTTAATCACCATTACAGACTTCACCTCCAAAGACAATAAAATTACCCTCTTTCTTGAGGTGTAGGTGCACACAGACTGAATTTGTCAGACTTCTGTGCAGTCAGTATTGCAGGTTTGGTTCTAAGTATAGTAAGCTTAAAAATAAAAACCCTTGGCAGTTCAAACTCAGCCTTGTCAGCTGTGTTTTGTGCTTGGATGGGGAAGTCTGTAGGTAAGGGTACACAGGAGCAGTGGATCCAGAGATGCTGTTTTGGCAGTGGGTTAGAGCAGAAAGCAGCTAGTAGAAAAGAGCAGACCAGTAAGGAATGAGGCACGTGTGAACAGTTGAGATACTGAACAGAACAGCAATAAATGAGTTCTGTACATTGGCTCCTCTGCTCTGCACCCCTTGGACCTCTGCTGGCGGAAATTCTTTCCCCTAATGAATTCAGTTGAAACACATTTATGTGTAAACAAATTTGTAATAGTGGAAATCCCTTTGCAAACACTCTGTTTCTCAGCTCAGCTAAGGCTTGATTTGTAATTTATTTTGGTTGAACTGAAATGACTGATTCAGATCAGAATAAGGGCTTTTATATTGCCATAATGGGATTGCTTTAGTACTGTCCTGGTAAACGTCATGAAGCTGGGCAAGTAATCAGAAAAGCGAATCTGGGATGGTGGAGAGGGTGCAGTGCCAAGGTTTCTGTTCTGTGTGTGACTGATTTGTTAAACTGCTGCTTTGCTTTGTGGCAGGGAGTACGCAGAGTCCGTGGGGCGGAAGGTGCGGGACCTGGGCATGGTGGTGGACCTGATCTTCCTCAACACAGAGATGTCACTGACACAAGCCCTGGATGATGTGAGCAGGGGAGGGTCTCCTTTCGCCATTGTCATCACCCAGCAGCATCAAGTTCACCGTTCTTGCACTGTTAACATCATGTTTGGCACCCCACAAGGTACTAAGGTCTCAGTAGGCTGGGAATTGTGTGGTCACTCTGAACTTTTCTTTCGGGCAGAACCACACAGAACAAAGTTCATCTTTGCTGTCACATAAGGAGTTATAAATGACTTGGCACCATGTCATAAGTGTGAATATCATTATTTAAAAGCTTCTGTAATACTCTGCTTGCCCCTTGTCAAAAGGAATGTCTAATTCCTGCCAAGAGGGAATCTCATCTGTGTTCTTGGCTCCTAACACTGCCAGCCTTTGCAGTGTTAGGGTAAGTCATGGACCCCAGAGCTGCACTGCTCTGGGGCATCTCTGAGTAATACCAGCCCAACCTCACTCTACCACTTGTTGCTCTCAGAAAGAGCTTGTTGGGAATGTGCCAAATTAAAGGACAGATTTTAAAATCAAATGTGATTTAATAAGGATTTGGTAATGGTAGAGATTTGATAATGAAACTGGGAAGAGTTATGAAAAGATAAAACTACAAAGTGTTATGAAAAGATAGATCTACAAAATGTTTGGGTATACAGGCTCCACCTTCTTAGCACCTTTACACTTGTCACATCACTTTCCATCACAAGGTGTGACTTGGTTGTTGCATGAGGGTGGGTGTAAGTACTAAAAATGCCTCGTCAAAATATGACTGGGGAAAAGAGCTGTTGCTCTGATCATAGCAACATGTAATGTTCATGTAATCCAACAACACAGGTGACTGGTTTGACCACTGAGCTTTCAAAGGTTATTTCTCCCTTACTGTGTTCCCAAGTAATGTTCTGTGAGTTCATCTGGGAGAGGGAACCTCTGAGTGCACAGTCAGTGCTTGGTGTGTGCTCACTGGCTGGAGAAGCCCGGTTTCTTTTAACATCAGATGCAGATGTGATAGGAGAGCTCCCTCATTTCCTGCAGACACACAGCTCACACACACTGTCACTGAGCTTCCCACTACCCTTGGTTTTAATTCTCAACTTCTTTGGTTTAACACCTGTTAAACCTTTGGAAGGAGGCCAAAGCTTCTTTTCTTCTCTGGATCTGCTGGTTTATCAGATGTGATGGGAACCGCAGTCATTAGCTCATCCAGAGCTCATTCCAGAGATTAGATATGGTCACTTCAACTGCTCCTGGCCACCTTTGCATGCATGTTTGTTTCAGGGAACTCTTTCACAGTTTGTGCAAAGCCTAATGTTCAAATGAACCCAAGTTTCTGTTAGGAGGAAAAGGCTGGCAGGATTTGATGCTCTGCAGGTGTTAAAAGGACCCTGCCCAGACTTTTGGGCGCTTTTGGAAGGGTAAAGGCTCTTTTGGTCTCCCAATTTAAATCTGTGTTCAGGTGACTGTTCATGTGTGTGCTTTGGGAGTTCAAAATAATGATCTCAAAACCCACCAATGAAATTGCCCATTACTCATTTTATTACAGAAGAATTTGATTGCTTCTTGTTGCTTCAAGAGCGGTGAATATGAGCAGCCATGTGACACTGAGCCAGTGCTGCTCCCTCCCCAGCTGCAAGTGCACATGAGATGTTAAGGCACTGGCAGCACAGAAACAAACGTATTCCTGTGGCTGTCCTCCTCTGGGAAGCACACAGCCTTCAGAGGGCAAGTTTTGGATCTGTCCCAGGGTTTAGCAGTAAAATGACTGGGACCATCTCATCTTGGAGAACTGAGGATTTATGTGAGAGGTAGAGGGAGCTGCTTTCCTTTTAACTGGTGAGAGATAAGAAAGACATTTCTGGGCTGTGCCCTCAGCTGTGGAAGGAAAGGCTGGCCTTGCTGGTTGATAGCTGTGGGCCTTGTGTTGGCTTTGAAAATGTAATTGTTCCTGTGCGCCTGGGAAGTTCCCAAGTCTGCACTCACACTCCCTGAGCGCTGCCTGCTGCTGACTGGGCTGTGCTGGCAGGCAGGAGGAACAGCACCTCCATCGGGGTCACTTTGGGTCACTCAGAGCATTTCTCCCTTTGTGCAGAGCACCGCAACATGCCCCAGGCCGATGCCATGGTGCTGGTGGCAAGGAATTATGAGCGCTACAAGACGGAGTCCCGGGAGAAGGAGCGGGAGGAGATCGCCCGGCAGGCTGCCAAGATGGCAGATGAAGCCATTCTGCAGGAGAGGGAGCGCCCACCCCCCATGGAGGAGGGTGTCAGAGGAGGTCACTCTCCCAGGATCCAGACTCTCCTGAACCTGCTGGCAGACAATCGCTATGTGACTGCTGAGGAGATAGATAAAGTCATTGATTACCTGAGAGACAGGAAGGAACGCTTGCTGCGGGGCAGCACTGAGCCTCTTCAGGGTAAGTCCCAGAGCTCCAGACAGACTTTACTGTGTGGTTTGTGGTCCTCAGGGCTGGAACAGGAAAAGAGTCCTGGGACTGCAGAGGAATTTGGGAGCATAATGTCCTCATGTAGTACCTGATTTTATTGAGATGGATGTGGTGTTGCGTGCCATGAGACAATTCAGAGTATTCATGTGGAAGATCTTTTATGCTGGATTCTCTTAGGGCAACAGCAGGACTGCCATAACTGGTTGAGCTGCTACGCTCAGTTCTCTGGAGTGGTTTGGGTTCCCAGAGCTGTGCAGCTGTGATCTGAGGGTGGATGTTCACTGATGCCATGTCTTTGGTAGCTGTTTCATTAGTTTTCATGTCTCTACAAGGGCATTTGCAGAGCTTTAACCACCTTTCCTTTCTTTCCCAGCACCTATGTCAAGACAACCTTTGGGGCCACCTTCAGGATCATCACTGGGTAGTCAGTCCAACCTTCCAAGTTCTCAGGCTCATCAGAGTTCACAGCCTCTGGTCTCTACTCCTTCTGTTCCAGTGTCCTCTTCTACTCCTCAGCAGGAGCTTCAAGCAAAAATCCTCAGTCTCTTCAACAGCGGGGCGGCGGCAGCAGCAGCTGCTGTGGCCAACAGCGGCCCTGCGGCCTCCGCGGGCTCTTCGGCCACCACTCCCAACCAGAACTTTGCTAACCTGCCTGGCGGGCAGCCCCGGCCAGCACAGATGAATGCTGGAAATTTAAACCAGGCTCAGCAGAGATTGCAGACTCCAAACACGCAGATTCCTGCTCTCCCAGGCCCTTCAAGAAACGCAGGTCCGAGGCCCGGAGCTCCTCCACAGCCGCAGCCGCTCTATGGTCAGCACCAAACGCGCCTCCCTGCGCCTGGCAGTGTGCCCGCCCAAAGGCCGGTGTCTTCTGGTATCAACTTTGACAACCCCAGTGTACAGAAAGCCTTGGACACCCTTATCCAGAGTGGTCCTGCACTCTCCCACCTTGTGAGCCAAACCGTGGCCCAGGGGCGAGCGGGCTCCTCAGCCCAGCAACCGATGGGTGCCTACCAGCGACACTATTAGAGCTGAGCTGTTGGACCCATTCCCCTTCCCTTTGCCATTCCATACTTATAGCTGTTAAAGAATTCTCCCATCCTTGCCCGGGGACAGATGCCCTGGACATGCATGTCCTCTCCACTCTGGCGAGAGCATACCCCCTGCAGCATTGCTGCCAACGGTTGCTGGCGCTGCCCTCCCTCTCCTTGGTCTGGTTAGCAATGTTTGGAGCAGAATGCTCAGTTTTCTCCAAGGCACGATGTGCTGAACTGTGTTGGATCGTTGGTTGTCTTGTCCCATCCCAGAAGATGACGCAGCTGATGCAGTCCTGCTGCATTTTCCTTACTCCCAGCACCTGGTGCACCTTCCCATTGAGGTGCAGTCTGGGCTCACTGATTGGTCTCAGTGTAGTTTTGGATCATCAGTTTTGATGACTTAGGGGACTGAACAGAGCAGCAAACTGACGGGCCTTGGACACCCACCAGTGTGGAATGGGCACT